GTGCCCGACGAGGTGGAACAGCATGTATTTTTTGATTAAGAGGGCGGTTTTGTTGGAGAGAAGCATCCGCGAGTATACAGCAAACGCGGGAATTCCTAGGATCATTATACCAGCTTTTGGGTGGTGCATTTTCAAACAAGTGCTGCCAGTCCTGGAGTGTATACGGGAATTGTCTGAGCGATGTGAGGGGGACGACTACATCACCATATCGGATGTCTTATATAATGTACTAAAGTTGTTGTACGACCGGCTGTATGTCAGTGACACCGATGCACATGCAAAACCTGTGTTGCTTGACTTCACCTCTGAGTTCACACAGAAATTGTGTGCGGATTGTGATAATATCAATCTAATATATTGCTGGGCATTAGCGGCGGCTGTGGACGGAAGGAGGAATACATTGCACTGGATGAGGAGGATCTGGAACAACGCTGACGATTGGCCGAATGTGGTGGAAGAATATGACACCCTGGCAAAGTTCCAAGCGATGTTGAAGAAAGAGATGACGGCATTGGTGAGTTGAGTTCTGATTTGTGGCCTTTGCCTTTGTGAATGTCTGCATCCAACTGTTGATAGTTTTTGCTTGTGTGAATAACAGCATGCATATGACTTCTGCAGTTGAGGCACGTGGTGAAGGCGCCCGAAGTCCAATCCTCGGGCTCATCATCCCAAGAGGCTGCAGCACAGGCTGTGCAGCAGAGCTGGCTTGACGCGGCATCACCCCCACCTAAGGGACCACTACATTTCCGACGATCAAAGAGGAGAAGACGGGCCCCATCCTCCCCACAGCATATGGACCCCATCGAGGCCGAAGTCGAAAGGTGGTTTGAATTGAAATGGACACCAGCATGTGAGTATCAAAAGAAATGGAGTGCAGGGGATTGGTGGCGAGAGAATCATACCAGCTTCCCCTTGGTGGCCAGGCTTGCACGTCGAATACTAGCAACACAGGTGAGTGGGTGAGTACAACTGGCTGTGCATATATGCCACAGTGCCCTTATGAAGTTCACAGGCTGAGAAGTACTGAGTATTTTTGGTTGTGTTGCAGGCCTCCAGCGCCAGTAGTGAACGATCTTTTTCCAAGGCCGGTCTAATAGTTCGGGCCAAGCGCATGGTTCTCAAGCCCGAGAACGTGGATCATTTAAGCTTGCTAGGGTGGCAAATGGCTGAGAGTGGATGGGCGCAGCAGAAGCTTGCGCATCGACGCAAGAAGGGGGGGAAGGGGGGGAAGGGAGGGAAGGGAGGGAAGTAGTGACTTTGGATTCCTGGGTTTGGATCGCCACCGGTGACCCCCCTCGTTGCCCCGGCGTGGAAACTGTGGAGTACCGCCGTAGCGAGGGTGCGATAGGCAGAGATGGAAGATAAGATATCATGACTTCTAATATTCCGTTGGTCTGTGTTGAAGTGCACACCTTGGACACACTATGTTGGAGTGGTGGATGAACTTTGGGTATCATATAGATAGAAGAAAATTTTATTCAACAATTGCGTCCCAACAAGTACTGCGATTGGTGGATGGGCTTGACACTCGCTGCCCTGGCATGGAAACGGTGGAGTACCGCCGCAGCAACCCATCGTTATATGTGATACGTATCACCCATTCCCAAGTATGTTGAGTGGCTCAACTGTGTTCAGAGGTGAACCCTCTTTGCCACCTGCCTCAGGTGATGTGGGTGTTTGTGTGTCCGTGTTTGGTATTACAAGTATGCCGAACCCTTGCTGCAATGGCCGGGAAGACTTGCAATGGGAGTGTGGTGCGCACTGCGTACTATGCAGCAGTACCAGCCGCAGCAAGTGGTGCAGGATTGGCATGCCATACACTGGAACTTTACACACGGCTTGTGTGTTGTTCAGTTCTCCAAAACACTCCATGTATTACAAACCGCAGAATACATGACCTGGAAAACGCCCACACACGTTTATGAAGCGTGCAACCAACACAATTCGAGCTGCTGCAAAATGGAAACCCCTGGCAACTTCGCCTTGACCTTGCCGTGGCTGGAAAGCAAGTACCTACGGGACAGAACGGACCAAAATTATGAATCCACGGATGTTTTGTTGCGGACCGGACGCCGCGCACGCCCTCCGTTAATTTAACGGCAAATAACGGTGAAGAAAAAGTGAGAGCCGGATTCTGCGGACGGCAGTACGGCAAACAGCGGACCGGATGTTACCGGACGAATATCATACTCACTTTTACGAACCGGACGCAACGGAGCGGACGGTACCCGAGTGTGGCCACCTCTACTCATAACCCATTTTTAGAGTGTTTTCTCTTTCTTTTTTTTACTTTTTTGTGTTTCAAATTCAGCAATGGTGGCCACCCCATACAGTGCATACAACACATATAGCAGACACCCATCGTACGTCAATTATGTAAGTGATCCACTTAGTGAAAACCGTGGTCATTATGTGGCGTCATGAACAACCGGCAAAGCCAGACTGAGGGGGGCGGCACAACCGGATCTTGTGTACAACACCGTGCGACATGGTTCTTCCTTGGAGGAGAGGGGAGAGGGGGTATGTTGTCGTCACTGACGTACGGGAGTGACTTGTGTTGGACCTGTAGGGAGTGGTGCTGTACGTATGATAAGGGAGCCAGTTAAGGGGAATTGGCTATAGTGAACGAACGGGGACGGCTTTGGGATTGGTTCATAGTTGGGGATGGTAGCGGGAATAGGAGCTGAGGAAGTGTGGGAGTGAGGGAGAGTGGGAGTGGGTAGTGTACGCTGGGTAGCTGTTGGGCTAGTTGGCAATGGATCATAGTTGGTCTGGGTGGCAGGAATAGAAATTTGGCATGAGAAAAGGACACGGACCCGGCCAGCTAGCCAAAGTGGCCAGAGTGGGTATTCTGGAGACAACAACTCACACAATCGCACTATAAATACCACTCGCTTCACTTGTAATGATGTGTTCGGATCGTGACGGACTTGTCTTCCCGGCGCGTGACCGTCGTGAACGCCTCCCGTACCCACGGGGTCGCCGCAGCCCAAAGGCTCATTGCGCACTTGAGCCGCCCAAAGGCCGACAGACCCCGATAAGGACATCACTGTGCACCCCACCTCCACGGCCCAATTACCGCACGCCAACTTCGCGAACATTTTGAGGGCTCGCAGGGGGCCACTCGGGCGGCTGTGTCTGGTCCCAAACGGGACCTTCGAAGGTCTGCACGTGAGTCGCAGGCGTTTTTGCCTGTGCGCCTCTTGGGCAGCCAGTGCTTTGGGGCGGTCAACTGCTGCTGTCCACACGGCAAACGTGCGCGGCCTGTGTGCACATGCGGTAACCAACGCCTTGAGTGGCCCGGCACCACCATTGCAAAGGTGATGCCAGCAAGCGGGCAACGCCCCGCGAAGGGAACTTCCGTCGATTTTGGGTACCGTTCGCACGGGCAGCGATGGAATGTCGTCAAGATGTGTACAAAGTGGTGCACACGCCAGCGCTCGGCCTGTGTGCGCCCGCCGCAGCCGACCCCTCGACTGGGGCGGCGCCATCTTTTGCGATGGCGGCGAAAGCGCTCGGGCAGAGCCCCGCTGCGAGAACAGCCGACGAGGTAATGTCGTCAAGATGTGTTGTCAAGATGGTGTGGACGCATGAGCTGGTCCCGTGTGGGTTTGTCGCAACCGAGGACACCGGCACCGCCGTTGTCGAGGTTGCGCAGGCGCGCGTGCGGAACCCCGCCACGCCAACGGTAGTGTCGTACTCGCCCACGTCGTTCACGGACCCTTTCGAGGAGACCCTTCTGCCAAAACGGTGCGTCACTACCCCGATAGGGTCGCCGGCATGTGGACAAACATCGCGAGGCCCAACGCGCCCAGGAATCATTCCGCAGCTTAACGCTGCAGTGCTCTTCCCACAGCAGAGCTTCCCCTGCCTTTCCTCCCCCCAGCGCTTCGTCGCATGGTCAACCCAGCCATGCGGCCCGCATGGGCAGTCCTCGGGACGCCTGCCACGGTCACTTCCAGACTCTCTGGCCGCAGAAGAAAATGCAGAAGGATCTTGTGACGCATTGTCCATCGCGGCCCTCGCGTGGCTCCGCCGCTGCCGGCGTTCCCGGGAGAGGCACCCGTCGAAGGGGCTGGTCCCGTGGTCGGCATCTCCAGACGACCGCGCGCCCATCAAAGCACCCCAGGCATCGTTCAGGAGCGCCGAAACAAGGAGCGGGCGAGCAAAATTGCTGTGACATAGAAGGAGGTTTGCGTGTCGCGCGGTGGTGGCCGCGCAAGCGCAAACGAGGGTACCTCGTCGTATCGGGCTAAGGCGCCTTCCTGGGAAGCCAGTCGCCTGGGTCCTCGATCTGAGGCAAATCGGATGCAAGGAGGCGAACGGCGCCGCGGGCAGGAGGCCGGCAGAGCCGAGCAGACCGAGCGGCCGCCGCTCCAGGCCGCCTGCGGGCTCTCGCGCCGGCGCGCCGGCGAGGTCTCCACCCCCCTTCGGCGCGCAGTCAGCTGTTGTTGCCGCTTGTCACCGACTCGCTAGAACAACCGTGGCAGGTTCGACTGAACGGCATGATCCCCCACGGGGCACAGTCACCGGCGCGTCGGGCGGGCGGATGAATGGGATACGGGGGGGTGCCCTTTCCGCCACGTGTCGGCGGTCGGCGCGACCCAACGCGGTACCCAGCCTTCCACGTCCGCGCCGCAAATCCACACAACACGCAAAAAGCCGCCCTGCCTTTGGCAGCCCACCGTGCCGCCCCGCCCGCCTGACGCCGTCGCCCTGCCCCGCCACCGGCCGCCCGCGCCCACCGGCCCCACCCTCCGCCCTCTCGCCCACCTCAGACCTCCGGCTGGAGCTCCCTCCTCCCCCCCGCCCCTCGCCGGGCCTCCCATCCGACCCCCGCCCGCATCCGCGCGCCCGCCGCCCGGCTCCGGCGCCTCAATGCGTCCTGGAGGCGCTCCCCTGTCCGCCCGTGCCGTCACGCTTTGATTTTGTTCGCAAAATTTTGCTCGGAAAATCGGGGATCTCGGGGCCGGCACGAGGCGCTTGAGGCGGCGGTCGAGATGCAGGGCAGCCCCACTGCGCCGCCAGATCCCCTGAGGGCCGGCAGTCCCGGCGGGGCCGCGGGGGGGGCCGGGCCGGCGGCCAGCCGGCCGGCGGCCGCCGGCGCCGCGTCCGACAGCTGCGTGCTCAAGCTCAAGGGCCTGCCGTACTCCACCACCCAGCAGGAGATCCTGGACTTCTTCTCGGGCTTCCAGATCAGGAAGGTGGAATTCGTCCTGGACCCCGACGGCAGGCCCAGCGGATTGGTGAGCCGCGGAATTTTGCCAGCCGGGAGCCGTTCCTGCGGACGCGCGGGTGGCAATACGCGCCGCCGACGCCTGGGCGATATAATCCCACGATAGACAGTTTCAGGGTTGGCGGGCGCCCCAGTGGTGGGCACGTGGTGGCCCCTTTGCCGCGTGTGGTGGGGAGTGTTTGGGGCTGCCCGTGGCCAGCGCGTGGGCCGTCGGGCGCCGCGGCGGGGGCTGCGCGAGTGTTGTCGGCCTGTGGCAAGCGCCCTTTTCTGTGTGCACATTTCCTCACAGGGTCGCCTGCCCGTCTGTCTGGTCCACACACCTTCCCCAGGTCCAAGAATCGGGGCCCCCCAGGGTGCACCGCATTACGGTGCTGTGAGTCTCGTGCCCGTTACTCACCGGCGCCTGTGCCCCGTGCCCGCAGGCCTTCGCCGAATTTGAGAGCACAGAGGAAGCCCTGCGGGTGAGCTGAGGGCGTTACGTTACACGGCGTACGATTGGGGGTCACTCAAGTGGGTTTTCGCTGGGGATGGTCGCTCACCGCTCGCAGTCACCTCTTGTTCCGAAATTGGACCTGCGCTGTGGTGCTTCAACGATTCGGTGCCGGCGTGGCGGAGGAGAACATGCCGTGTGTGCGAAGGGGGTTTACACCCCGAGTCTGTCATCAGAATTCGGGCACTCTCAGCCCTCCAAATTGGTTGGAGGCGGGGGATGAACCTGGCAAGAAAGTCGGTCGGGGGTTTGCTTGGTCGGGACCGTCCTGCGAAGATTTCAGTCATGCGACGGACATGGTGAACCTGCGCGACGGCACTCGTACTTCTGACGACCCTTGGGCTAACCTGCCCGGAATCGCTGCGCCGCAGATTCCTTGCACGCACGCACCAAACTCGGGCGCAGGGCCGCAGACGCGCGGAATCCGCACTGCGCACCCAGCACTCGCGAAAGCCGCGCCGTCGGGCGCCGTCCGCCCCTGTCCCCCTTCGTCGTGCACAGTGCGCAGTGAGTGACGACCCAACCTTGTTCCGGAACCAAGAAATGCCAGTTCGTCACATGCCTTGGTGATGATGCCCGACCTGGCTCACCGCGAAGCCGCGGATGTCGGGCGTTTCCGCTGAACAAAGATACCCACACAGCGTCGGATTCGTGCAGCTTCTGGCGATGATGGGTTTGCAGGCGATGAGCATGAATGGCAAGTACATCGGCGACCGGTACGTCAAGCTGCTCCACGTGCCCAAGCAGGAGATGGTGGAGCAGGTGGCGTTCGGAACGACCATCATCCCAAGCGCTCGCACCCGGGCCCTGGTGCCGCCGGCCTCCAGCAGCCTCCTGCCGGGCGCGGGGCTGAGCATGGGCCTCGGCGTCGGCGTCAACCCGCAGTACCTGGACCCCAGGGTGGACCCAAGGCTGGACCCCAGGCTGGCGAACTACCCGCAGCAGCTCATGCAGCCTCAGATGTCGGTGATGCCTGGATACGAGCAGCTCGTGGGGGCAGCGGCCCAGTAAGTGATCCGAGTTGACCAGGTTGACTGCTTCCTGGCGAAGATTGGCTTATCGACGGCAGGACACGCGTCATACGAATGCACCTTCGGGTTAAGGAAGGAATTGTTAGACTTGTGCCATCCTTTGAATGGCAGCGCAAAATTTTCGAGTTTGCGCAGTCCTCAGGTGGTTGTCAAATGGCGTTTGGGTTGTGTCAGAACTGTAGATTGAGAATGTGTTTCGGCACCCTCTCCAAACAACGAACGTACGGGCCCTTGCCGTTTCGATTCAGCACCATGTGGTTGTATCCTCAAGAGTGTGGACGTCTGCACCTGCACATCAAGGGGCAACAAATAGCTGCATCGATGTGCGATGCAGCTCGTTTCTGTTGTGTGACAATGAATGATTCCAACATCGATGTGTGTTAAGAACCAGAAAGCTCTCATTTTGTAAGTGCAACCCCCACAAAAAGAATGATTAAGGAAGGATCCACCACCAGCAGGATTGTTGGCAGGTAGCTGCTGGAAACCAGCAAGTGGGTACTCCAAGTGTGTGCAAGTCACAAGGCAATGTGTTCCATTCCCAGTGTCATGGAATTACTGCAAGTCCACTGTCAGCCAAGCAGCAAATGAAGGCACTGTCTACAAAGAAGTGCGATACTGTCTAGCACAAGAGTAGAACAGCACACTGAATGCGCAGGGCACCATTGCCTTTTCAACCAACTAGTGCCAGAATCTGTAGTCTCCTTGCTTTCATGCAGCTATAACTCAGCTGTCCCGCCGCAGGGGCTTTGTGCACAACCCAATCAACGACCTCACGAAGGGCATGCAGTCTCTGCACCTGATCCAGTCGGCCCCAAGGCCCCATGTGCTGACAGATGGCAGCACTGTCAAGATGCGCGGCCTACCCTTCCGCGCCAGCAAGCAGGAGGTGCTCGAGTTCTTCGCGGAGTACGAGATGATCCCCGACTCACTGCACATAGGGGTGGACAGGCTGGGCCGCCCAAGCGGCGAGGGATGGCTCACTTTCTCAAACCCCAACGAGGCCCGACGTGCAGTGCGCGACAGGAACAGGCAGTACCTGGGCAACCGGTACCTTGAGCTGTCCATCTGCTAATTGTGGCAGCGCCTCTGGCCCGGATGAAAGGCTGAGGGTGGTAGTATGGTGGGCCACATCTGCAACGGGGATCTTGACTTGGAGCAGGGGAGTTGGTCCCGCTGCTGGCAGAGAGGGATGGGGCCATGATGAGCTTGAGAGGTCGACTGTTGACATTGCTGCGTGTGTGTGTGTGAAACAAAGCCATCTGTGTTTGTATGCTGTGCGCCCATGCTCCAAGCAGGGAATGTTAACCCAGGGTGGCCTCCCAGGTGGGATTCTTTTGGCATTTGAGTCTGCACATGATTGCCTGTTTTGTTGAACCCACAACTTCAGATGGATTGTTACTGGGGTGCTTGGGCTGAAATTGTGGATTGTCAGTAGGCTTGATGGATGGGTCGATGGGCCAGAGTCTTTGCGTTTGGGTTTCGTTGGTGGCTGTCGGGCTTTGGCACGTGGGTCGACTGGTGATGGTGGGAACTGTCGGAAGGGTCAGCAACTCTTGCAGAGGGATGACTTGGGAATTACTGTGACTGTTTTTACGGCACTGAGATGTAGGTGGAAGGATGGGAGGGCAACACGGTTGAAAGTGAGAAGAGAATTGGGCGAATTGGTTGTGGGCTGCCACGCAGGCATTTGCAGCTGCGCGCAGACCTGGGCCTTGGCATTGTGCACCTTGGTGCTTGCTGGGGCGTGTTCGGGCGCCCTTGCGTTGTATGTGTGCTTGAATTTTGGCGAGGCATGGAGACTTCTTTCGAGGGGATTGTTTGCGGCGCACTGGGGACTCGTTTAGGGGTGCAACAAATCCAACCTTCGAACAGAGCGCTGGGACGCGGCTACAGGTGTGGGCCGTCCGATTTTTCCGAATGGGCGTTATTGTGGGGGATTTGATGGCGGTGTGGGACGCTGGCCCCAAAGCCAGGGGCGGGGATTCCTGTCCCTGACGCGGTCACAGCTGGGCGGCATCCTGCACCGTGGGATGCTTTTCGATTGATTGCGTCAGAAAATTTGAGGAACTGCAACCCCTGGGTTGTTCATAGATGCCATGCCATCAGGGGACGGGGCGGCGCAGAGAGCGAACGATGCGTGTTGTGTTTATTGTTGATGGGTTCTGTAACGGTGTGTAGCGGGCTTTGGATGCCCAGGGGCAATCGGGTATTGGTGAAAATCACCTGAAGGCCTGCGCGCATATAAGCACACTAAGCACACTAAGCACCTGAGTCGTTGCATTTCAAGTCCCTGGGACTCTCCGCTCAGGGGCCCAGCCTCACTCGGCCTGACACACACAGCCGGACAGAAAACAGGCGGAGCGCATCGCCTGTCCCCTGTGCTGCTAATTGTTTTGTCGTAAAAGAAGCAATCTTCCATATCTAGAGATTTGAGTTCAGGCTGAATGCATGCAACGCCAGACAGAACTCCAAACTCCACGAAAACACTCTGCCTGATTGCGGAACCCAAAATGCAGTTGCGTACTGCTCTCGAATCACCAGTCAGGGAGACTGTGCACGCACTGAGCTCCCGCGTTTGCGGCGAAAGGCAGGCACGGACCGAGCCCCTATTAATGGGATTAACTATCTTGTTAAGGGGTTTCCACCTGACCGGTCTCCTGAACCCACCCGGTCATGTTCCCCACACGACAACACATTACAACAAAGGTGTCCATCACCAACAACTCCACATACCCGAGGTCCCCGTACTTAACAGTTTGCCCATTCACTCTCCAAGGGCACGGGAGGCACCTCCGGGGCAGAAAATGTGCGAAACAAGATAGGAGGGGGACCGAGGGGAGAGCCTAAATAGCCGCCCCCGCTCAGCCCCGCCAAAGCCCGCCAAGTCCAAGCCGCCAAAACGGGCGGACCCTTGGACACTCCGTACTTTGACTGACCCAAGGTACTAGAAGGGCCAGAAACCCGTTTGAATACGATTGCGCCTGATTCGAAACTCGGCGCAACCCACCCAACGTCGTCCTGGGTGGAAATCTATTAACAGGATAGTTAATGTCATTTCCGCCCAGGGCGACGAGGGGCGGGCGTGCTGGCCCAGTCGGACCAGCGCTGCTCAAGTACACCGGTTTTGACGGCCCCTTGGGGTTTCTGTCCCCCTGTACCTTGGGTCAGTGGCCAGTTCAGCGCGTTCAAGGAGAGCCAGTGGTTTTTGGCGCCCTTGGGAGCGGTGGGCTTTGGTGGGCTTGAGCGGGGAGGCTACTTAGGCTCACCCCTCGGTCCCCACCGTATCTTGTTTCGCTTCGCGCCAACCCTTTGGCACAGCCCGGACCCACCGAGTGGGTCTCGACCTCCGGCTCTTTGCCGAGTTCTTGCCTATGAACCCGTCCCCTGCGGAGCAGTGGTGCCGGGAACAAGCTCGCCGGTTCAACAACCGTATTCCGAGCTCCGCTATCGAAGCCTGCTGGTTGCCCGACCCGGCGCTACTCCCCCAGTCCGTCAACAACCCGGTCGCCCGACCGGTGGGCGCTCGTTCGCCGTACTGGTTCGACGTCTACGACACCGCCGAGGGGAGTGCGGTCGCCACCTCTTTGGGCGCCAACTCCGGGTACTTCCAGGAGTACGCGGGCTGGGCTCCTCCGGTCTCCTGGCTGTTCGACACGACCGCGGCCTTCGTGGAGGTGGCTGCCCATCCCGATCTCCCGGCGTCCGTACGAGACTTCCTCCTCCCCTACCTTTACTCGTACGTGGAGGTCACCGAGGCCCTCCACGATCAACTTTCCTTGCAGCGCATCCACGCCAAGCACAAGGGCTCGGGCCTCGAGGGATCGTGGCGCGCCATTCAAGCGGAGATCCGTCTCGCCGACCGCGGCCTTCGCTTCGGCACCGCTCGCGTCGACGGGACCATCGAGCGCATGCGCAAGGAGCTCTTGACGCAAGAACTGAAGCACGCCACCAAGACCGCGGCCGCCAAGAAGTCTACCTCCCCCCCGTCGACCTCGGCCCCCTCGACCGGCCACAAGTCCCACAAAGCCTCTCGCGCCCCGGCTCCATCCCCCAAGCCGGGTCCGTAAAGGACTTCCCGTACAACCGGGTTCGAGGCCGCCTTGCCGCTTGGCGCCGGATCGGCGCTCCATCAAGAGTCCTCCAATGGATCCATTCCGGGACCCCGCTTCTCTGGGGCCCGCGTGGACCCCCAGCCCCCTTCGACGAGGGCTCCTATCCGCTCCGCTCTCCGGAGGAACGGGCGGCTTGGACTTCCCTTCGCGCGGAGTACCTCGCTTCGGGCGCGATTGTCAAGGTGGCTCCGGGCCCGACGTCGCGCATCTCCCGCGCCTTCCTGGTGGAGAAGGGTCGGGAGGACGGGGTCATGAAGTACCGCCTCTGCATCGATTTGAGACGGGTCAACCGTCACCTGCGCAAGGTGGGCCTTCGCTACGAAAAATTGCGTGATTTTGGTCACCTTCTTTGACGAAATGACTCATTGGTGGGTTTCGACATAAAGGATGCTTATCATCACCTCAGGGTGTGTGGATCAGAGGAATGCTTCCTGCAATTTCGAATGGGGGACGAAGTGTTTGCATGTCGGGCACTTCCGTTTGGCCTCTCGTTAGCTCCATTCTTTTTTATGCAGTTCATGCTTGTAGTGGGCCGTTTCTTGAGGTCCCCGGGCAGCTGCCCCCAGGCAGCGAGACAGTTTCGTTTTGGACGCTTAGCAGGCGATGACGCCATTGCTAATTACTTTCAGGTGTACACTAAGGAATCTCCCGCCATTCTTTTGGCGTATTTGGATGATTTTTTGGCGGCAATGCATGACGCCTCTCGTTTGACTCACTGGTCCGGTTTTGTGAGGGGCGTTTTTGCCTCGCTGGGTATCCAATTCAAAGACCGCAAATGTCAGTGGACCCCTGTTCGGCGCAAGAAGCATTTGGGCGTGATCATCGACACGGCCCATTGCCGTTTTGAAGTTCCGCCGGAGAAGGCTACCTTGGTGGCCTCTAAGGCCAATCTTTTGCGCACATGTCGCTGGGTTGTGGCCAGGGATTTGGCCCGTTTCTGTGGATTGGCCATTTCCTTACATTTGGCCTTCCCCTTGGCGCGCTTCTTCTTGCAAAGCCTCTACGCAGTTCTTCGGTCCAAACGCAGTTGGTGGGATCGTTTGCGCCTCACCCCCCAGGCCCGGCTGGACTTAGAGGCGTGGGTCAACCTTCCGCGCTGTGCGGGTCGCCCTCTCAACCCGGACGCAATCCCCTTCGCCGGCACCCTGGCCATGGATGCCAGTCTGACCGGCTGGGGAGCCACCTTTTCTCCTGCCGGGACGTCCCGCCCCCTCCTGGCAAGGGGGTTTTGGGACCGTTCCTTGAAGCACATCAATGTGCGTGAGATGCAGGCGGTGGAGCGGGCTATTCGCAGCTTTTTCCCTGCTGCTTCCCATGGCCTTCCTTCTCGGCTCCGCCTCCTGGTGGACAACCAGGTAGTCATGTACTGCCTCCGCAGCATGACTACACATTCCAAGGAGCTCCTCCGCCCCCTCCGCCAGCTGCACCATGTCTGCTCAACGCGCCACCTTTTGCTCGACCCCAACTATATTCGGTCGGAGGACAACGTCATCCCGGACCAGCTGTCGCGTATCCGGGTGGGGGACGACTACCAGCTCAATCCAGCCATCTTCCGCCGGCTGACTCGGCTTTTCGGTCGCCGGACGTGCGACCGCTTTGCTTCCGCGGCGAATACCCTCTGTCCAAGGTACAACAGCCTGCACGCGGACGTGGGGAGTGCGGGGACGGACGCCTTTCTCCAAGACTGGACGGCGGACTCCAACTGGCGCAACCCGCCGTGGTGCCTCCTTCCTCGGTTGGTATCCTTCCTCGCCGCTCGGCCCGCCGTCGAGGCCGTCGTGCTCGCGCCGGACTGGCCGAGCGCGCTTTGGTTTCCGCCGGTCCGGAATCTGGCGACGCAGGAGCTGCTGATTCCCCACCATCCGGGGATGTTTCGCCCCGCGGATCCGAGTCTTCCGGTGGCTCTTCCTCCGCCGAAGTGGAACCTTCGGGCATTTCACATCTGCCCTCGGACGGCTCC